GTTCTCGCGTTCATGTGACTCTCGTAGCAGACAGTTTTGACGTGCTCACATGTGCTGAGCGGAGTGTACCGCTTTACGATTGCTACTAAAGTTCTCCTACTACCATATCGCTGTTCTGATTTTATTTGGATGTAAAAATACTGAAGCCGGTCTATTTACGATGATAAGGCGTCCAATGCCGACGGCTCGCTAGTCGCACGTGTCGCTGGGCTTGTGACGGCGCTACGTCGGGCAAGTGCTCTGCAATCAACTTCGACTTATTGATCGATGCGAAACGCCAGGAATTAGTGGATCCTGCAACGAAACAGTCAGCGTGGCATCAGCGCCGACATCGCATCTATCACCCTGGTCTATGCCTTATCCAGGACCACACCAGGTCACGTCAACCTTTTCTCTCAGTACTCAAAGCTGGTTCAGCCAATGAACGCAGCTCTGCAAGTGGCATCCCACGTCACGCACCACATTCGGACGAATGGCCCGCCCGTTTCATATCATGAACGTCTACTTTAAGCAGGAACATTTAAGGTGGCTAGGGCGGAGTTTGAGCATATGCTCGAAATCTGGATAATCCGCCCTTCAGATAGCCCTTGGTCCTCTAAACTGCAGATGGTTCTTAAGAAAATTGGCAACTACCGCGCACCCAATAAAACGACCGGTGCATCTAGGTACCCCATCCCACGCACGCAAGATCTCACCGCATACCTCACATGAACGACATGCTTCCGAAAGTTTGATCTTGTTCGGGCATATCATGGGGTAGCAGTAGAAGAAAAAGATATTCCTAAAACAGCCGTCTTCACTAACTTCGGCTTGTTCGAATTTTTATGAATACCTTCCGGTTGTGCAACATCGCACAAAACGCCTGACGCTTCATTCACGATGTCACTCGTGGTCTAGATTTTGCCTAGTCCTACCTCGATGACACTCTAGTGGGCAGTTTGCCGGAAGAAGATCACCTCTACCACTTCCGTCCTTTCTTCCAGCGGTTGACCCAACACAGTGTCACAGTCAACCCGCCCAAGTGTGCACTCGGCAAGTAGACGGTAGAATCCATAGGCCACCTCGTCTCATCGTCTGGTACCGAGGTTCTTTCTGATAAACTTCCCAGCTCCGATAATTCACGGAGGTACGCAGACCATCGCAACACATTAAAGTCCAGTCTTGTTGAGATGGATATGCTGCAGATACGTTGACAAAGCCAAATTGCGAAGGCTTGATCAGAAAGTGAAGGGATTCCTATTTGAAAACGACAAGACATATTATTCCTGTCAATATTATTAGCATATCCTTCCTTTTTGGAAACTTTGAGACCAGATAGCAATCCTTCTTAAGCAAGTGGATTCTTTCACTATCGCTCCCAACTTTTGTCGTTCCCAAGCATATATTTGAGGACTAAAAAGAGCGCCATTCAGAAGCTGTACACTCGAATCACTGGGCATTCAGCAAGGAAATCAAGGACATAGCTTCGAACTGTCGAATCTATAACATTCAGCGGAACGACCCAAATCGTCTCTAGAAGATAAAGTTCATTAACTGACACATAGACCTACTTCCGCATTGGCTGAAATATGTCTAAACAACTTTTTGGTAGCCGACGTAGGAATTTATGAGATAGGTGCTAGTACTGGACAATAAATATGCCTCGGTTTTCAGATGAATTGTACCGCCCAGACGACTGACTTTTTGACGTACCACTGCGTCGAGGCTGATTGCTAAGAGGCTTGTAGGAAACGAGAACACTTCAAATGGAATCGCATGGAAACAAAAAAATATGACGTACGGGTTTCGCGATTAACTTATTTATAGCAACTTACTCGAGTGAGTGGGGTTAGCACATTGAATCCGATCGGTGAGAATCGTAACAAGCTTGAGACGAATGGAATGTAGCAAGAAACAAAACCGGTATCAAAATCAATAACTTGTTAACGCATTAACTGGCAATTGATGTGCGAATATGTCAGGCGCTCCTTGATCCATTTTTCTCCCATTCCTGCTTTGGAGTGTTCGTTTGCTCCACTTCGGTGGCAGTCGAACTGATCGTTGAGCGTAGCAATTTCGATGCAGACGTTTCGTCAACCGGTGCAGAATCATACCATATAACAAATAAAGTAGCGTGTTGAATATTGGGTGTAATCCGCCTCGAAAACACTGCACTCCGCGATCGGTTTCAAAGTTATGTGTTCTCATAAGGTGGAGACAGTAAGCATCGATCTCGGGACCATTGAGATGGTATTTGGGACCAGGAGCCATTGGGTACCGAGTCACAAAGTGCAACGCTTGTCACAACGATTAATGACTAATTGGAGGGGTCATTTTGATGCATTCGTTGTGTGGAAGGCGTGCAATGTTTACGAGACGGGCAAAACAAATATCCAGCTGCTTCAGCTAAGGTCCCAGTGTTCGAATTGGCCAATGAGAATAACGGTCCACATTGAGATTACGTGTCACAACCCAATAAAAAATGGGTGCTTTAAAATAACCCTTGCAAAAAGCAAGGTGTTGTTTATCAGGTTTGTGGGTCACTTATCCAGAGTGACCAAGACGATAGAAGCGATAGAAAATGCGATTCAACCGTATATTTCAAGTCGAATGGAATTTGCGCGAATACTAATGGGAAAGTTCACTGTCGTTTATCGCAGCTGACTTGTCTTAACACTAGAACGCCCGGAGCGGTCATTTCGACCGATCAGCGTTTGTAAATGTGCATATTTTCTACATTTATGGACATTTTTCAAAGATATTTCGTGACTTTTAATATTTTGGGACGTTCTTCATTACTGTGAATTTTCGTTTTCATATCTGTTATAGTTTTCGAGAAGAGGTAGCTGTGTTCATACTAGCTAGAAAGCCCGTTAGCGGTCAAAATGACCGCTTCTCTCTAATCCAGTTCCTCTTTTTATTTTTAGCCACCACTATCATTTCTGACAGTTATATACTATAGCAGTCAAAACAGGAGTGAAAACTAGCCGAATCACGATTTTACTGTGATATTGTGCGTTCAGTCAGATAAATTCCAGTGACATTTTTGTACACAATGGCACTTCTGGGGAAAACAGCCTTTGCGGTTTTACGAGAACTTACAACCATCGATGACAACGAGTCTGGAGACGAGAACGATTATAATGTTGATGAGGACTCCATCTTTCACGAGTCAGCAGAAGATCACAGCATGTCTGATAGTCAAACGTCTGATGATTACACTCCATATGAGGACCCTAGAGAGAGTGTATCAACCGATTCGGTATCTCCCGGTGAGCTTCACGTATCGAAAGATGGTAGCACGTGGATCGCAGTGGAGTTCGAAACATCTACTGTTGGTAGGATTCCATCACAGAATGTGTTTAAGCCTAGACACGGAGCAACTCCCTATGCTAAGAAATGTGTGAAATATGGTGAGCTGTCGAGCACTTTTGACATCATAATCACGCCCCAGATGCTGAAACATATTCAAGTATGTACTGAAGCTGAGGCCAAGAGAGTTTTAGGTGTCAGTTGTCAGTGGAGCGTAAGTCTTCCAGAGCTGCGTGCCTTTATTGGTCTACTTTACATCAGAGGCTTCATGGGTCTGAAGAACATGCCGTTGAATATGATGTGGTGCGATGGATTTGGACTGCCTATTTTCAGGGAGACAACTGGCAAGAACAGCTTCAAAGAAATAATGAGGCTCCTCCGTTTTGACATGCAAACTACCCGATGTGAAAGACTGCTAACTGATAAGTTTGCTTTGGTATCTGAATTGTGAAATGCATTCATTCGCAACTCTCAACAATGCTATGTGCCTGCGCAGAATCTCACAGTTGATGAGCAATTGTTTCCCTCCAAAACCCGTCGTCGTTTTCTCCAGTACATGCCCAACAAACCAGATAAATTCGGTATCAAGTTTTGGATGCTGGCAGAAGTAGACAGCAAGTATCTCGTTAATGGATTTCCATATCTCGGGAAGGACGCAACTCGATCAAGAGGAGAAAGTCTTGCAGAGAGCGTGGTATTGCGCTTGGTGTCACCATTATTTGGAAAAGGGTACAACGTCACATGTGACAACTTCTTTACGTCGGTAGCATTAGGAGAAATGCTGGCCAAGAAAAACACAAGTATGGTGGGAACACTTTGAGCTAATAGAAAGGAAGTACCATCGATTTTGAAGCAAAGAAATAGAGAGCTGTTCAGTTCACTTATGATGAGGAATGAAAATAAGCACACATTAACATCCTACCAGTGTAGAAGGAATAAGAGTGTTTTGGTTTTCAGTTCCCTGCATAGTAACTCTTCCGTTCAACTCTGGAAAGAAGAAACCCGAGACTGTGTTGTTTTACAACTCCACAAAGTATGGTGTGGATGTACTCGACCAAATGACAAGAGCACTCACTGTGAAGTCATCATCTCGAAGATGGCCAGTCCAAGTCTTTTTCAACGCACTGGATTTGGCTGGCATAAATTCCTGGATACTTTATAACAGTGTTTGCGGAACTAAAATATCTCGCCGGTCGTATCTGGTGGGTCTTTCGGAAGAACTGCTTACATGTAAACATCACACAAGGTACGTGACAACGGGAATTACGACGAACAACTCAGCGGAGTCGGGAAGTCGTGTGAACATTAAACGTCGGCAGTGTCAGATTGGTAACTGTAAAGGTAACAAATCACAAAACAAGTGCTCTGTTTGTGAAAAAATAGTTTGCGGCTCATGTGGACAGATTGAGCGAGTTATCACTTGCTTCAAGTGCAAATTGGAGTAGGTATACGGAATTGTTTACAATTTTTGAAAAAAATTAAACCTTAATACAATCATTTTTCTGTTACAGGTATGTTCTATACATTAGTTTTTAAGAAATGCCGTGAAAAAATTCTTAACTGAAAGTTGGGATAAAAAAATATAGCAGTGCGGTCATTTTGACCGGTGCCGGGTGTTCTAGGTATAACGGCGGAGCGGTTTTTCTAGTGTTAAGGATGGCTCAGCGTTGCAGTCCATCGATTGACTATGAAATCCCGCTTGATCCACTTCAATAAGTCTGTATGGATGGTAAAAATGTATTTGATTGGGTACAAATCTGACAAAAATACATGTGGAAACAAACGTCACGATAAGACTGCGTTGACGAAATGCGACCGGTTGCTCTCCATAAAATGCGAAAGACACGCTGTGATTGGGGGAGAAAAAAAAACAAAAATTGAAATGACACTGTCCGGTAACAAATGGAGGAAGCGAAGTAGGTTGCTCGATAGAGGACAAAACCTAGCCCCATAGGTAACAAAACAGAGTAGCCGGATTAGCAAATCAAACAACAGTTGTCTGGAAAGCTTTCAAATGAACGAGTTTGCGCGTATAAAACTAATAATGAGACAGCAATCTTAGTCATCATTGCAGCATGCCAGTGCGGGCCACCGTGAGGAAAGCAGAGATTCGTAGAACCAACCGATCAGAAGGCCCTTTCGAAGTCAGGTGTAGGATGAGAGTGAACAGTCCCCTTACGTAAGTGAAATCAAATTTCAACTGAACATGGTGTAATATGGTAAGTTAAAAAAGCAGACACACAAACTGATGGGTTGGGTTGGTAAAAACAAGAATTACAAGCAACTACACAATGGGAAAAATAACTGAATCGAAAAACAATGAATCCACTAGATCAGTCCACTCACTGGCAGCAAGGATTCCATGTGCGCCGACCCAGAGGAAACAGAGTGGAACGGAGCGTATACAGATCTGTTTCATAGTAAGTCCGGATGTATGCACTAGGTGCATTCAAGCTTTCATGACGTGATCAACAGAGTGCGAAAAGCGTTGCAGAAACGAGGTCAAGTCGCTGTTCTTCACACTTCTCAACGGCAATGGCTCTCAGTCACATGTGCTGAAAGCCGACGCTGAATGACACCAATTGAGTGTACTAAATTAGGTCCCCTTCCGGTGCCTCCAAAAATGATGGAAGTCACTGTAATTGACGGGTTAATGCCAGACTTAGATGCTTTTGGTTATAGTGCTCAAGAACAATATGGTTTCAGTTGGAATCGGTCTACTGATCACACGAACCGACTGGACAGAGGCGATGGATAATGGGGCAAGAACTGATGAAGATTTCCATAACTTTCCGGCGGCACTCGATCGGTTGTACCATCATATTCTCTTTACAGAGCAACTGCATTGCTAATCCTCCCTGGCGACTTCCGCCTTCACAGGCGTCTGCGGAGAAAAGTATGCGCATGTATGGCAGATTCCATTCAAGTTTACTGTGGGGTACTATAAGACTTGACCCTAGCCCACGTCTGTTTTTGATGTTTGTTAACCATCAGGTAAGGTTTATTGTTTCGAACTGTTCACTTTATGTCAATGAGGTCAAAGTGGGACCAGTTATTGAGTTGCCATACCATACCATACCATTGAGATTCTATACTGCTTCCAGTCAGTATCAATAAGGTCCATAAAGGATCAGTCTGGAATCTACTTTATCTCAATTTAGTGAATGTGTTTCAATTACGACACAAAAAGGATCCTTCCATAGAGGCCCGGAGCTCAGCGTCTGCAGAATGCCAGTGAGAGGAATCGCGACTTGCCGATTCAGGAAAATCATGGCTGTTCGGAACAGCCGAAAACTACGAAGGAAGGGCAGCCAACATGTAGACCGCTTGCAGAGGTTGATTGGATGTTTCCAATAATTTTCTTCCTTAACGCATACGCCCTCGCGTACGAGGTATATATATATATATATATATATATATATATATATATATATATATATATATATATATATATATATATATATATATATAGATCACAATGCGTAGTACAGATATTGTGCCATCGGAATCATGGCAGAATAGGGAAAGTGGATGGCAATAAGAAGGGAAAACAGGAAATTTTTCCTTTTGTCCAGTGTTACACTCAAGGTTTTTGAGTTTTCTCTAATAGCTTGTTAGTAAGGAGGGGAAAGGGAATGACCGCAAAGAGCAGACATACGTCCACTACGGACATTAATCTTCAGCCATGTTTTACAGGATCTTCAACTAGCGACACCCTGTATCCTTGAAATCGCAACTAAAGAGGCGAGAAAAACCGACTGAGGCAAACTGTTGCTTCAGCTTTTCGTGCCTCTCCTCCAAGTCATAGGTTGTCCATCGCGCCGCCCGCTCTAGCCGTGTCCAGAACTGTGAACAACGCCCGATGCGGAAAACGATGATCGGGCATGCGCAATATGTGACCAAGCCACCGAAGCTGACGCAGCGGAACGATATCCTCAATCGAGTAGCTGTCTCCATCCAACACACGCTATCTAACTTCCACACTGGTTACATGGTGCAGTCATCACGCAGGGGCAACGGGCGGCAAACAACGGTGCTTGAAGAGACAGTCCGCGTAGGTCACAGATAGGAACACGCAAGGTCTTGCAGTCGCAGTATAGGCCCATCCACTGATGAATACGTTAAGGCGAAGTCATAAGTGCCACAGACTGAAGAAAGCGAGACGAACTCTTGAGAGAAGCATCGAAATCTCGTCTACAACAGCTCCATCGGCAGTGATGCAGTTTTCCATGTAGACAAAACTCTCTATAACCTCCAGTGTCTCACCACCAACAATAAGTGCAGATACAGGAATCTGCCAGTCTTTAAAAAGAGCCTTGCACATGGATGAGGAAAAGTTCATGCCTTAGTGGCCAAGCGGCTAACAGCAGGTCGGACGGCCTGTGGGTCGTTACCCAGCAAGACGATACCATCACGGTAGTCCAAATCAACTACAGATAATCTGGGAGGAGCTCAACAACAGCATTCTTAAGGATATCGATAATGGCAAATTGAAGAGGATTGGAGAGAAAGTGCGTCCTGTTGAATCACTATGGTGACAATAAAGGGAGGTGAAATTTTGCCATAAGCAGTAGTAGTATTGGTAGTAGTATTAGTATTGGTCGTCGTAGTAGTAGTAGTAGGTAGTACACGTTAGCTGCAGGTGGAAAACATCTTAGCTATTGTGCCGCAATACAAAAGACAAGAAAAAGAAAACAAACAGTGGCACGCTGGCTGAGTCCCCAGTAACGGATGGACATTGTTCCGGAGAGCCAACAGCTGGCTACCGTGCCGTAAAAAGTCATATAATGCCTAGGAGTAAGTTGTAGTAGTATAGACCGCAGTCTGTCAATAGACATGGAGCCAAACATAAACATGGAAATCAATAATAGAAGTTAGGTTGAACATCGTATCAGCATCATGGCACATTAACTGAAGAGGAGCAACGCAGTTCAGATATTGTACCGCAGTATAAAACAACGGAGCATTTTTGGTTAGGTTGCACACGCCATTTTTAATTTTTTGTCGTTTTTAATCGTTAAGCATTAAGCATCCGAATCTAAGCAGTTATATTCACAGATCCTCCACTGGTTTCGAGTAAGAGACATATCCTGAATCGTTTCCAGCCATCGGCACTCCTCGTCCTTTAGTCCCCAACCAGATAGACGAGTGGATCCAGTGGTGGCAAGACGTGAAGTCAACGGTTTTATTTGCTGTCGCCAGGTGGATGGTGGACCACCACGTGATCCGTTCCGGTTGAGTCCTGCACGAGCAAACAGAGCGCGATAGGACAGACGCTCAGCTGACATACGCAGGACGTGACCGAGCCATCTTAACTCGTGCGACAAAACCAACCTGCTGAAGGGAATACTTGCATTCCCTAAAACACGACGTCTGTTGTTGCCACCACACACGAGCAGTATCCCTCAAGCACTTGTTGTTGAATGCTGAGGGCCGGCGCGTATCGTCTACGCGAACTGGCCATGACTCGCTTCCGCATAACAACACCGCCCGAACATTGGCATTGTAAACACGACACTTTACCAAGAGGGAGATATCCCAGCGACGCCCCAAGCGCTGCAAGTCAACAAACGCCGATTGAGTTTTGGCGATGCGAAGAGAAACTTCCCTTCTAATGGTACCACTAGCAGACACACAGTTGCCAGGGTAGACAAAGTTATCCATTTGTTCAAGCTGTGTACCTTCAATATTGATCACGGGAACAGTTGAGTACCAATCCTGAAGCAGCATTTTACAATTTGACGGGGCAAAGCAAATTCCGTACCTAGATGCCTCAATCGTCAGGCGGTCTCGATTGGTTTGCATGCTCTGTGAGTCCTCACCAAGTAAGGCGATATAATCGGCATGATCTAAGTCGGTTGCTTGTTTGCCCGATAATAGCTGGATACCAAAATGTTGGCAACCGTCTAGAGCTCTAGACAGGATTTCTTTAATCGCAAAATTGAAGAGGAACGGGGACATAGAACAGCCTTGTCGTACACCACTAATGATAAGAAAGGACGACGAAAGCCTGCCATACACCTTCACTCTGTCAGAGATGTGGAATTACAGTGCGCGTAAGATAGCAGTATACGTTCCTGACACACCGTTGCTTGGCGAACAACGACATAGTGCAGGTCGATCAACCGAGTAGAATGCGGCAAGGAGGTACAGGAATGCAACGATGGTAGGCCACTTGAAAAGGTGGCGGTGACGGAGTGTGAATATCTGATCCACACACCTGCGCAGAGTTCGGAAGCCACCTTGTTCTTCCCGGTACTGCGAATTGCGAATGGAAGATGGTCTATGGAGTAGAATGGATGCCAATAGCTTAGAGGTAACCGAAATGAGACAAATCCCCGGTGATTGGTACACAAAGTGCAAGCACCCTTATCAAAAACCGGGACAATAACTGACTCGGCCCAGGACGAAGACTCCTTTTCTGCATGCCAGATTTTGGAAAACAATGAGGTTAGCTGGCTAATGATGACTAACCCACCATATTTGAACAGTTCCGGAGGAAGTACGTCTGAGCCCGCAGCCCTGAATCGTCTTAGGTGTCGAATCGCAAGACAAACTTCCGCTTCGTTGAGTGGATCAAGTGTGACGACTCAGGGCTGGCAGCTGGGTTCCCAGGGGATATGAGTGGACGGTGAGGGCAATTGAACTGGGAATGAAAATGTTCGGCTCATCAGTCCAAGCGCCTCTGTAAGTTGGCAATCGGAAAACCATTCGCTTCGCATATAGTCTCACTGACACCAGACTTTCTGTGGCCAGTGGATCGAAGGAACTGGAAGACTTTGTCAGTATTGCTAGAAACGGCAGCAGCCTACATTGCCGAAGCACGCTGGGAACACGAGGCTTCACG